TGATCTACATAATTCTAGTGCTCAAATCCGCTTGGACCAAGAACAAAGATCGTTCTCCTCGTCAAGGGCTACGTCTACGTACCAAAAGGAAGTGATTTCACCGAATAATCAAAGGAAGAATTTTTGGAGATCAAAGCTTTTGGGTTGGTTTTGGTGTTTTAGGGGTTTTCTACACTCCTAAGAGGTAGGGGTTATTCCTACTTTGGATTATTCTTACCTTAGGTGTTGCTAGACTAAGGGTGAAAATTATGTATATGCATATGTATTGTTATACATATATGTCTATGGGTATGAAATTGAAAAAAAATAGCATAGGAATAGCTTAGGCTAGCTTCTAGCTTGAATTTGGTATATGGAGGTTCCATGTGATTATTTTGTAACTTGGTGAAAACTTAAGGCATGCTATGTGTTTTATAAACTATGCCTTGGAATGTGTTATGTGAATACATGACTTGAATGACTATAAGATGTTTGATAAAATGCCCTAGTGAAATTGAGTGTGTTACTTGCATGATGCTATGTTATAACATGCTTGGGTGATTGTGAAATCATATGCTTAGGATATGGTTTTTGGATGAAGAGTGTTATTGACATATGCATGAAATGATATATTGAGCATAATGAGAAATGGTAGTTATATACTTATGATACAATTGCATTGATGTATGAAAATGTTTATATGTTTGTCATAAGCATATTGAGCATTATTTTGTGTGCAATGGAACATCACATTGCATTTGCACGGAAGTGTCTCATTACATGAGTGAGTGCATGTTTGACGTCAATACCACACTTGGTAATTGACGGAAGGCTTGGGAGAGTTGGGTCGAGGACTTAGCTAAGCCGCTTGGTTGCATGATGAATTGGGTTGGGGTAGCAAGAAGAGGCATGACGACCTCTCGGGTGCAAGACCCGATGATTGGGCTACGCACTCCCTTGGCTCGGCCCATAAAGTGTGTGGGTGTATTCGGAACCCTCGGTTGAAGTCCGTAAATTTCGTGTGGGTTGGAGGCCCTTGGTGTAAGTCCATGAACATCCACCCCTATACAAGACCCTAGAGTGATTAACGCCATTGTGTGTAACATAAATGGTGGTTTCGACTAAATTGACACTTGCATGTGTTGGGGAGCCGGAGAGAGCTCGGAATAAAGTTGCATGGGTGAGTGTCACTTCATTCCATGGCATAGCATTGTTGCATTCCATCATAGGATGCATAAGTGTGAGAAATGCTTGGTTGTATGTTTGTGTGATGATTACATGAGCATGTGCATCTAGGGGAAGAGTAACCTCTATAGGTTTATCTCTATTGGGCGTTGTGCTCACCCTATACGGGAAACAATTTCAGGTACGGGACACGTTCCGGTGGATGGCTCTCATTCGGGAGCTCTTGGTTGAAGAAAAGCCGGGTTGTGGCTTTTGAATTTAGTTTTTGTAAAACTTTTGGTTAATTTCCATTTTGGCATGTAAAATTATGGAAATAGTTGTATTAGAACTTGTATTGACTATATTTGGTATCATATAGATGTTGTATAAGTTTTGGATAACCTTGGATTGATTTGGGGTTGAAATCATACACAGAAATTTCAGACACTGCTTAGTGTTTGAGCCATAACTTTTTATTGTGACGTCCAAATGATCTGAAATTTTTACAGTAGGTAGTAGACACCTAGGGCTACAAACGTGTTTTTATGAAATTTTCTCAATTCCACTTCTAAACAGGTCAAAACCGCACTGGAAGTTGCAGCAGGACAGAAACTGCATTTTCTGTTCGAACGTAAAGTGACGTTCGAATGGTGCGAGTTTTGAACAGCAAAACCAGCAGAGAACCAAATGTACTGGGAGCTACCTATTTTTCAAAACCAAGGGACGTTCGAATGTGAATAGTGCTGTTCGAACGGTGACTCTAAAACCGAAATTTTTCAAACTATGCACTAAGCTTCCAGGCTTGGATTTCTTTGATTTAAAGAACACCAATGGACTTGGATTTCTCTAGTTCCAAGGATACAAATGGACACTAATTGAGGTATATTGAGGCTTATTAGACCTTGGTGGATTTAAATGATAACTATTACATATATGCACTAATATTAAAGTAACCTTGCATGTTTTGCTATAAATATGGATAATTGGACCCGGTGTGGTCAATGTTTACTTATAAATGGACCCGGTGCGGTCATTGTTTATATTGGGCCTCAGATGGGTCATGTGAGTTATGTTGCACAGGTTGGGTATTGGGTAGAGTTCCCTGTACAAAGGAGACTCTGCCCAAATTTTGTTAAGTTATGGACCTCGGTAAATGGGACATAACAGTGTGATATCGAGTCACTCGGTATTTACGGGTATTCCGCGGGTTGATGGGTAATCAACGGACCCCCGGATTTTGGGGTGTCACAAATAGAGTTTTTCGACCATCATTGCTACCTTCAGTGGTTAAGTCACTCAGACTCATTAACTCAATCTTTGTCTCTTATTATTAATTGATTTACACTACACACTCGACTAATTTGATTATACATAATCAATCTTTGTCTCTTATGTATAATATAATAAACTGATTGATTATTTGGTTTCATTGGACCAGATCAAACTTTTTCTCAGACTTTTTATTTAACAGGTTCGTTATGGAATATAAAAAAATTTGTTGGGTATTCAAACCAGTTTCGATTTAGAGTTTTGAATCAAATTAGAAGTCTGATCGAATAAATTTTGTTTTGAATCCAATTTGTAACAGACACTGCACGCCGGATTCCTCCGGCTTCCTCTTTATGACGATGGAAAATGCAGGAAAATCTACATCCGTTTATCCATCCCATTATTTAGTCCTAATCCGTAAATTTCAAAAAAAACAAAAAGATAAAAAAAATAATGAACGTGCAACTCGGTAAACCGCAAAACTAATTTTATTCTTAAGATTTCTAACTTTAATCCGTTTTCAAGTCATATGTTCAAAATGGATTTAAATGTGCCCACAACACATCATGAAAACCTCATCATAGAAGTAATGGTGCCCCTAGATGTGCTATTAAAGTTGACTTGAAGAAAGCGTTTGACTCAGTGAGTTGGTCTTTCTTGATGGATGTTCTTGAAGCCTTCGGGTTCCCATTGGGGTTTAGGATGTGAATTTGGTAGTGCATATCCACCCCCAAATTCTCTATCAATGTGAATGGTGAGTTGGCTGGATTCTTCCCTAGTGCTAGGGGTTTAAGACACGAGGATCCTATTTCCCCTTATGCATTTGTGATTGCCATGGAAATATTTTGTCTTCTTGTCCTCCACAAAATCAATTCGTGCAAGGGTTTTAAATTCCACTGGAAATGCAAGAAAGTTAACCTCACGCATCTCTCTTTCGCTAATGATTTGCTACTTTTCTGCCATAGTGACTACTCTTCTGCTAAGATCCTCAAAGATGCTCTGGACAATTTTCAGCTCCTTTCAGGATTACAAATAAATCACTCCAAGAGCAATATCTACACATATGACATGCAGACTGAGGTAAAGACTCAAATCTTCCACCTCTTTGGGTTTTCAGAAGGCCAACTCCCTGTTGTGTATTTAGGATTGCCTCTTATCACTTCTAGACTTAGATCTCAGCATTGCAACAAGCTCATTGGAAGAATTGAGAGGAGAATTAGATCTTGGGCTAATAATTCTCTGTCCTATGCTGGGAGGCTTCTCCTTGTTAAATATGTCCTATGTAGTATACAAATTTACTGGTCCTCTCATCTTAATCTTCCTCAGTAGGTTATTGATAGACTTGAGCAGCTTATGAGAAGGTTTTTATGGAAAGGTACAAGGTTGAGTAGTTCAGGGGCTAAAGTCTCTTGGGATGATATCTGCAAACCAAAGAAAGAAGGTGGATTGAGAATTAAAAGAGTCAAGGAGTGTAATGTTGCCTTGATGATGAAGTACATCTAGAAACTCTTTACTGACAAACAAAATTTATGGGTGAAATTGGTGCATGCTTATCACTTGAAGAGGAGAAACTTTTGGGATGTTAAGGCTACTCAGTTTAGCTCTTGGAATTGGTTGAATTTGTTGAAGTTAAGAGGGATTACCAGACCACTTATGGTCCACATAATTGGTAATTGGCACTATGATCTGGTATGATAATTGGCACCCCCTTGGCCCCTTGATGTTTGTCTGCAGTCTTGATTTTCTTCTTGACAGGGGTCTACCAAAAGAGTCTCTTGCCAAAACAATCATTGACAATGGCCAATGGCAATGGCCACCTTCTTCCTCCTCTTCTTCTCACATTATTACTAGCACAATGCCTTCTTATTCTCCCAACCCTTCCACGAAGGATAAGGTTAACTGGACCCTCTCTTCTAACTTAAATTTCTCCACTTCCTCAGCTTGGGAGCATATTAGATAGAGAAGTTCCCCAGTTTCATGGTTTAAGCTTGTTTGGTCTGGAAATGCAGTCCCTAGAATGAGTTTCATCCTTTGGTTAGCTATAAGGTCCAGGCTGAGTACCCTTGATAGAATTCAATCGTATGCTGCCCACTTGAGCACTACTTGTATTCTTTGTAGAGTTGTTGATGAGTCTCACCCCCACTTGTTCTTTGAATGCAATTATTCATCAAGAGTCTGGATAAATATTATGCTCACGTGTGGACTTGTTTGGCAACCCAAACCTTGGAATGATCTCATTGAATGGGCCGCTATCAATTGGAAAGGGAAGTCAATGCAAAATTTGATTCATAGAATTTGCTTGGCAGCCATAGTCTACCATATTTGGATGGAAAGGAATTCTAAAAGATTTCGAAATCAATACGGTGACCCAAATGCACTGAGCCATCTTATTCATCAAACTGTAAGGAACAGAGTTTCTACCATGAAATTCAAAGCTTTTGCCAACAACCTGCTTACAAGCCAGTTATGGAACCTCCCCGTTTCTTGTCTCTATTAGCTCAAGTGATGGTTTCTGTGTTTGCATGGTTAGTTTGCATTATTCCTCTGATTTTTGGACCTTTGGTGAGGTTTCTCTGTTTTTTGGACCTATGGCTTTTCTCATTTTTTTGGACCTATGGTGTGGATTTATTGGTGTTGCCCGCTGTTTTCTTGCTGGTGTTGCTGCCTGTGATTCATCGGTGCAGGTTGCTATATTGTTGGTCCTCCCCTTGGACCTATGGTGTGGTTTTATTGGTGCTTCCCTTGGTGTTGCCCGCTATTTTCTTGCTGGTGTTGCTGTCTATGATTCACCTGCTCCCCTCTGTTGTAATGTTGTTGTGCCTGCTTCCTTCTGTTGCAGCATTGCTTCCTTCTGTTATAGTGCTCCCGCTGCCCATCTCTATGACCCCACTTTGTAACTTGGATTGATCTCATCCATTGGATCAACTAACTCTTGACAAGGAAATCCATTTGTCCACTTGGGTTTGACTTGCTCCATGGAGTTCCACATGTTATACGAACTTCCAGCTTGTGCCAAATTGGATCCTCCCCATGTCTTGCCTTGTGTTATCCTGTGTGCTTGGAACCCCTTGCTTGTGTGAACGTTACTCTCAGCTTCTTTGTTTTGGGATGTTGTTTTTGTATTGCTTTTGCTCCTTTGACTTGTGTTTTGTATTTTGGGGGAAGTGCTGGCTTAAGGCCTACACTTCCTTCAAAATTCTGATCACTTATGTCTTGTTTTTGTGATGTTCTACAGGATATGTCTCCCTGTAGGTTGTAGTGTTTTGTGTTGTGTCCTATTTTTTGCAGCAGTGTTATGATATAAATTTTACTTTCCGAAAAGAAAAGAAATTTTTTTTTTGTAAAGTGTGAAGTTTTTACTATTTTTGGCAGGCACAATGTCAATGTAAGTGGACATTTCATATAGTCATTATTGGACAACTTTGAGTGGGCTAATGGCTACACCGTTCGCTTTGGGTTGTACTTCATGGAATATGCTAAGAACCTGTTATCAAGATACCCCAAGAACTCTGCTCTATGGTTAAAGAGTATTCTATAGAAAAGGGATCACACAACTCACCTAGAACTTGCAGACCAATAAGCAGAAGATAAATTTTCTTTAATAAAGCCAATGTTGCTTAATTATTATGTATTCAAACTTGATGTTGATGTTTTTGAGTGACCCACCTTTTATAGGCAGAAGGGTGGCTAAATAAGGATGTTGTTTGTGTGACTTTTGAAAGGTAACTGTTGTACTCCAGTTCTATAAAAGGGGCATAAGTTCCCCATCTATTTCAAATTTCAGTCCATCTAATAAAATACTATGTTCCTAATCCAAACTCTATCAACTTTTGGGTTATTAAAGAAGGGACATGATACACAAACTTATGAATTCGGAGCAGAGTGCACGATGCATCGAATGGAGTTGATTTGAAAAAGAACAAGTTGTTAATATGACAAGCTATGTTGGCATTTGTAATCATGAGTGAAAGGCATGTGTGAGGTTTGTGGGTCCATTTTTGCTTAAGTTTGCTTCTTATACATGGTCCTCATGTTTTCCTACTAAGATGTGTTTACAAATAGAGAACCAAGTGAGAAGGAAGAGAATCAGCAAGACTAGTATGTGTGACTCAAGTTCAAAAGATCCCAAAGCCTCACGGTATTGTTGTCAATCATTAACTAAAAATCCCAAAGACATTATTAGAGAAGAACCATTAACTAAAAATCCCCAAAACACCAATCGACCATTCAAAGTTTACAGCCCAAGAAAAACCTCGAATCAAAAACCACATCAAATCCAAGTGTAAGACCCCGTGTATTTTTTTTAATTTATAACAGATTATTAAGTATGATAGTGAGTTGGTAAATTTTTTTATACAAAATGCATTGCAAATTGATGTGGAAGGAGTAGTTGAAAACCATTGGGAGATTTGATATATTTGGTGTAATCACTCTTACGAGATATTGAGTAAGTGAAATTCTAGAGATCTTTGGTTGAAAATAACATCAAAAATGGATTTGGAGCATCAAAAAACCTTGAGGTGATAATCAAGGTCTTAAACGCATTTTGGAGGGAATTCAGATAGGAAGAAATTTGGCACTACTTCAATAATTTTGTGAATCGGTCTCTAACTAGATCAAAATTGGGTTAAAAGTTTTGGGCAAAAAGTCACTCATGTCCAAACACACCTGTGAAGCTTTAGACAGTGACTTTGCTTTATCGGAATGGAAGATGTGCATCTTGACGTGTGAGTTGGTATATAGACAAAAGTTTTAGTCCATCCGAACAAGCGAGTTGTGTCTACATGTGCCTCTGAAGTTAGCCCCAACCAATTTTGAGTGTTTCCTTCGTTTGTGATACTACAAATACCCTAGGCACATGTTTTAGGATTTCTTTACATATTTTTCACTCCTAAGCAGCCTAGGAGAGTCTTGAAAAGAAGAAAAGGAAGAAGAATAGTAGATCACGCTAGCTCCTGACTAGGTCCAGTCATAGGAATCAAAAGAAATACTTTAGGAGCAATTCTCTTTGGAATCAAGGCAGGGCTTCTTTGCCTTTTCTATTCAATGAAGCTAGGGCTAATATTTATGTACTTTTGGATTTTAATTTGTACATATATTATAAATCTCAACTATTTTGAATTCCTTTCAAATACATAATTTGTTTTCTTGGAAAAATACATTATTTACATCAAATTTTATGTTTTTAATTCATAAAACCTAGATTTTTTTATAATGACAAAGTATAATGTTCTGGGTGATTTCATGCATGTTTTTGTTGAAGTTTATTCTATTATAAGAGTTGTGGAACTATTGTGTATGGCACCCGTGGATTTTATTGAAAAGCATTAATTACATATCTTGTATGGGTGGGTTTGGTGAACTTGGATTGCACTCGAACTTATATCGCAGAGTGTTTACATATGTTTCTTATCTCGCTCGATTCAAATGTTTCTCATCACTCGTAGTGGGATGTTGGTTAGTTGTGGGATTCCAAACCACTATACATTCATGGGGTTTGAGGGTGAGAGTTATTGTGTTATTATTGAGAAGATTTCATTAAATATTGATGCGCCAGTATACACGCTTTCTAAAATGTTATGGGCCGCACTAGGATTGATTAGAAGGTGGAATTTTTGTTGACTAGATATATTCGGTGTGTCAATTTTTGGCAATTGACCTGTGTACATGAGATATTCTTGTTGTAATCTATTGTTTTCTAAATGATTCTACAATACTATGGATTTAATATGTATGTATCATAAAATTGAGACCATTATAGTGTCACATGTTATACTTCAAAAGCTTTATATCTTATTTTATGACTTGAGACTCACCTGTTTTTATTTATTTTTAAACCTTGTTTAGGTTTAAAAAGTTTTCTTTTTTGAGCTAGTTGTGTTCACCCTTTCCTTTACCATTTTCAAATTTTGGTGGTGATATAGGTAACGATATAGGGGAGAATGTAGATTGGGATGTGGAAAGGGATCAGGAAGTGGATCCATAAATTGGGGCCTAGTGTTGAAGGGCTTTTATTTATAACAATTTTCTTTTGATGATTAGAGAAGACATACTAATTATTTACATTTATTTAGTTAGTTATGGGATTTTGTTCTTTATTTGAGGTTTTGGATGTTATTTTGAGATTTAGTTTTACGATTTGAGGATTTCTGGAAAACTAATGTTTGATATGTGTGGTTTTGATTTATTCTATGGTATGTTTTGTATGCTCTCATGATTTTAAAGATTAATACTTAGATCACGTCTATTGGAGTTGGGGAGTGACACTAAGTCTACTATAAAATTTCATAATAGTATCCCATCATTAAACAATCAAACTAGAACTAGAAAATCAATCGCCAAACTCCAAAATTTGAATCCACATTTTGATCCACTTCATAATGTCAATCAGCATTGTCACCTAGAACTATGTCCACTTCAATACTCAAATTTAAAAATTATAAAGGGTTGACCACAACTAACTCAATAGACAAAATCTCCGAAGCTTAAACAAGGTTTATAAAATACAAGAAAAAAGTAGGTCTAAATTTCTAAGTAAAACATGTGGCAGTAGTGACGATCTCATGGGTTTATGTATGCTTAGAGAACAACCATTAGATTAAGATATCTTCCATTTTAGGGAGAACGTTTAAGAAAAATCAACTGTTAAAATTAATTACAATAAATATTTTATTCACAAATTTTGGGCTTGCAATCAGTAGGAACGAGCAAGTTGGAAGAGCATTCTAGCTGAAAAGATCCATTCAAACCGAACACATAATCCATCATCATCTAATCCACATCAAGCTTTAGGGAGAACCAAGATTCACGCATCAATGTTTAATCAATTCTTCTCAAGAGTAGTATACTAACCCTTTTACCTCGATCAATGTGAACGAAAACTGCGAACTCTTAAAACCTTGCAAGGAAGCAAACACCTCCACTACAAGTGATAGGGGACCTTGAAACCTTTCAAAATAAGAAACTCATCTAAACACATTGCGATATATGTTCAAGCACTAATATAAGTGATTCAAATCATACTCTTCAAACAAATAAAGTATGCAACAAATGATAGTTTCCAAAATTAATATGACATGGAAAGTTTTAATAAAAACGTGTATCAGATTGCGAAGAAACATTCAAAAATATTCATTATTCAAGATCTAGGGTTTATGAACTAAGAACGCACTAAGGAAGTAAACCAAATATTTTCTAGCATATCAAATAATACTTTTTCAAAAGAATCAAAAGCCATTGTAGATCTATCATATTACACAAATTCGAGTCAAATATTATATATATAGTGTGCTCTCTTATTTTGACTTGTTAGTCTCGAACATCCTTGACTTTTTTCATGCTCTCTCTTCTCTCAAAGTCTCTCTAATCCTCTAGGGTTGGGAATATGTGAAAAGTACCCTAAAATTGTCCCACTAGGACTTTTTTACATTATAAATTAGGTGAAACATCGTAAACTAATTAAATTGATCTGGCCCATCTTCTATGCATTTATGGACGTAACTCACGCGTCTAGGTGGATTAAACTTACTGTCCAAAACCTCAAACTCATGTCCAAAAACAATATTGCTTCTATACAGAACTTGTCTTTTGTCCAAATAATCTATTTTCTCTGTTTGGACAGAGTCAACTTTCCGCCAAAACTTCCACTCAATTTTTGTGTTATAATTCTGTACAGAACTTGCAATATTTTTTCAAATGCCTTATAATTCTGCTCAATCAAACATTGTAGTAAGCAGTTACGTTCAAAATACTAACATTGTGTCTAATTATTTCCTTCCTAAGTTCTCTTCAAAATGTATTTAAGCCCCAGAATACCTCCAAACTTTTTTTGTCTTCAACTTTAAACCTCTACAACCACCTTATAAGTGATCTTGGAATATTTGAGATTTACCA